TTTCAAATATTTCCACGCATCGAAGGAGGGGATCAAACCCACTGGTGAGCACTGGTCCAATCCTAGTGCACGCAAGCCCAACCCCTCACCACACCTTTTAATAGTCCAGTATCAAACACCTATTTATAAACAACTTTAAATCCTCCTATATAAGCAATGTGAGATCTTTTGAAATACAATTCACTTACAACAAGGCCAACCATGACGACTCTATTTTGAGTTTTTGGCCTTACACGTAAATTTTATAATGTAAAACTGTAAAACATTTTAGTAAATGTTGCTTAATGTTCCATAGCCTAAATTAGAAGGTGCATATCTAATCATAAAAAATTTTGAATAATTGCTAAATTAAATTAAAATTCTAAAAAATGTCAAATTTTATTTGACATCATTGTTTGCATTTCAAGAACATCACAATTGAAAATAACTAAAAATATACATATATTAAAATCAAGATTAACATTATTTTCTCGCATCTACTTACACCATAAAAATCTACTTGTTAAATAAATTCTTGTGTAATCATAGTACGTCTACAATATAACTTTCTTCTTTTTTTCCTTTTCTAGAGTATAAGAAAAGAGAGATTCGAACAAAATCTATTGTCAGGTTGAAATACACTTATCACTAAGTTATATTTTAGTATGTTATAGGAACATCTTTTCATGAAGACTTATTTCACTAAAACTAGAAGTTTATGAATTTAAATTTAATTAATTGATCCAATTTAAAGTAAGGAGATCCAATGAAATTAATTTTTTTGGGCACTTACCCTTTGCTAATGGCATTTCAATTTAACAAACAACAAGATAAATGCCAGTGGTTATTTACTTCCACAAAATTGGAGTAATTGTTAGAAAAATTTTTCAGAAAAATTGAAAAAAAAAGTTTTATATTTAAATTTATCAGTTTTAGAACTCGAAAATAATTTTCAATTTTTAAAAATTTAAGATCTAAAAATAGTTTTAAGTTGTTTTCCATATTTTTCCTTTCTAATAAAAGCCAATTTTCCGATTGTTTTCATTTTCAAAAAATTATAATATCTCTCCTAAAAAAATTAGAATATCTAATTTTTTTAAAGAATATTTTTATTGAAAAATAATAACAAGTATTTGAATAACTTAGTTAAATGTTTTTTATTTTTATATTATATTTTAGTATGTAATTAATTTTATTATAGAAAACATATTATAATGATATCATTTATTTTTAAAAATAATTATAAATGATAAATTTTATATTATTATTATATATAAATCAACAATAAATATTATAATAAGTAGAGTTATGAGTAATGCTTTTTAAATTGAAATATGATTATTTGTTTGTGTAACCAAGTCGTAAAGGTTTTTGGACTTCTAATAAAGTGCGCTTTCCAATGATCATACTTGTATTCTCATCCTTACAGAGATTTAAATCGCTTAATGTAAACACTTATATTTTATTAATACAAATTGTTGGTTAGTTAAATTAAGTAATTTATTTTGATGATCAATCAAATATTTAAGTGGCTATTAAAATAAAATTATTGGATAAATATTATTTATCACATTAAATAAATAATGTAGTAAAATCTAATATTAATTTGACAAGTGACTAATTAAAGTAAATATTTGGTGAAAAAGTCAGGCCTGCAAAAGATAAGTTACACCACAGCAGCCAATAAGAGTTGGCCAAGTAGACCAATCAAATTACATACTTGGCAAAGAGTCCTCAAATCTCTCTGAATAGGCGACCTCTCTTCACATATGGGGATACATACAAAGAGACATAAAAGAAGTCTCAAAGCTTTGTCTGAATAAACACTATAAAAGCTCGCTCTCAAGTCTAAAGAATCAAAGTTCTTTTAACTTCAATTTAATATCAAGTCTCTTCGACTCTTGAATTGTGCTCAAAGTTCATTCTACATCGATTTAATATTAAGTCTCTTCGACCATTGAATCGCATTTCCAATTCTCATTCTACATCGATCCAAGATCAAATCCTTTTGACCCTTGAATCGTGTTCGCAACAACGAAGAGAAGAATCAGATGATAATCTTCCTTGTAATAGGAGATTCCACACATAGAGATTGTATCCACTTATTTATTATAGATACAATTTGTGTTTTTGTATTTTGTTTCTTGATTTTCAAAAACAAATTCTACACATACGAATTTTTGGCACACCTAATGGGACCATCTCTACCTCTCATCTCTTCTCTTTGTAAATCTCAAAGTTGACAAATCAATCAAAAGGTTTAATGCCACTAAAAAAGATCACAGTCACCTCGAAGGTCATATAAAATGGCATTTCAAATCCTCTTAATGTCAAATCTACTACTAACTCGAGTCCTGATGCAAATATTAAGACAAAGTTTGTCGTTGAAATTTATGCGAAGATGACTCCTCTAACTCAATAAGTTGTTATTGCTTCACTAATTCTGGTGGAGTCTATTGAGAAAAGCGCTTTCAAAAAGCGGTCAACTACTTAAATAACAAACTCTTCTCATGTGATGTTTGTTATGATGACTGGAACTACATCAACAAGAAGAATAACCAGATTCTTTGAAGCTGCAACTAGAAGCTCTCAATCATGCTCTTCATGAGAAAGATAACCAAATTGCATTCCTCTTCATGAGAAAGATAACCAAATTGCATTCCTCATGAACATGTTAGAAAGCATGACTGGAAAAATTCAGATGTTTGACAATGATGAATCTGCATCAAGAGGGTTTACACTACTGAAAGAGACGTCATCAAAGGAAACCTTAGAAAAAGGTGTCAAACTTACTACTGATGGCTCGATCTGAACTATTCAATTGGAGAAGCTGATGAAAGATGCCCTTAAAGATTAATTAGAGACTATGATGCAACCTTCTTACACATATTCAAAGTCGTACACTTTTAGGATAGACATGATGAAGATGCCATCAAATTATAAACCGCTCAAGTTTCAACAATTTCATGGAAAAGGAAATCCAAGATAGCATATAGCCTATTTTGACTTGCAACAATGCTGGCACGAATGGCGATCTCCTCGTCAAACGATTTTTCTAGTCCTTGAAAAGAAATGCCTTTGATTAGTACATTGATCTCAAGCCTGATTCTATTGATAGCTGGGAACAACTTGAGCAAAAATTTCTCAATCACTTTTATAACACTAAACGTGTAGTTAGTATGGTTGAATTCACTGCTACTGATCAGTGGAAGGAAGAATTTTTCATTTACTCTCAATTTGAATTGCAAGGATCAACTGTCAAAATCCTCAACAATTGATATATCCATCAAGGATATGCATTGGTAACTTGAGCTATATCCTACAAGGGATCAAGCCTCATACTTTCAAGAGTTGGCTACTCGGGCTCATGACATGGAGCTCAGTATTTTAATGTCATGGGAATAAAAAACATCCTAGTTCAGGAGCCTAAAAAGGGGAAAGATAAGCCAAAAGTATTGAAATTTGCTAAAACACCCACTAAGTCAAAATATAAGCAGTCTATGGCTATAACAATAGTGCCAATTAAGTTACAACCTAGGACCGAGAAGAAGCAACATGTGAAGGCAATTTCTCTTTAGCCAATAGAGAGGAAAAAGGGCATTCTAAAGGAAATGCAAGAAAAGAGTTACCCATTCTCTAATTTCAACGTTTCAAACATGTTGGATGAACTGCGTAAAGCTAGACTCATTCAAATTGCCAAAATGAAGTATTCGGAGGAAACAAATCGAGTGGATGATCCAAATTACTGCAAGTATCATAGGTTCATTAGCCATCCAATTGGAAAGTGTTTTGTCCTAAAAGATAAAATCATGGAGTTGCAAAAGAATGGTGTTATCACTTTTGATGAAGAGGAAGCAACTGCTAATTTGACCATAATAGTGATTGATGAATCATCGATCTCCTCCAAAAAAGAAATAATAAGGTTTAGCTCTTTGGACCCAGTTCAAGTTGAGTTGTTTGTTCCAAACAAAGTTTCTTTGTCAAATGAGCTCAGCTTGCTATAAGGAGGTAGGAGCACCACTTGGGGCAATGAATCTATCGAGAATCAATTCGAAGAGGAAGGATGTACTTTGGTTACTCGCAAGAGGAACAAAAGGAGGAACTCACTTCCAACTAAAGAAATTCTGAAGAGGAATAAGGTGTTGAAGAAGTTTGTCAAGTCAACACAATCAACTTCCTCAAAGATTCAACCAAAGTGTCGAAAGCCGAGAAAGTTCTTTGAATCGCAAGTAGAGGACTACATAGAACAAAAGCCTAGGCAACCAATTACTTTGGCAGAATACATGTTAAAAGAATTAATGGATGCCAAATTGTCTTTTCCATACTGTTATGTTGAAGAAGAGCTAAAACAAGATAACAGTGAGAAAACTCAAGAAGCAAAGGCCTACTAAACGGCTGTTGAAAAGGTTATCTTTACTGATGGAGACCGGATGCTTAGTGATAAGCTCCATAAATTGTCCCTTGTTTGTTGCAGGTGCTATCCGTGAACAAAAGGCAAATTGAATCTTACTTGATTTAGGTTCAGCCATTAATATTATGCCTCTCAAGACGTTCAAAGAGCTTGGCATACCAATGAATGAACTGAAGCAGAGTCGATTAATGATAAATGAATTTAATCAGAATGGGCAAAGGACTGTTGGTAGAATTAAGCTTCAACTGCAAATTGATGAGATGTAGTCAAATGTTCTTCTTCATGTAATTGATGCAATGACAACTTACAACATATTGTTAGGGCGTTCATAGATTCATGGAAATAAAGTATTGCCTTGACTGACCATCAATATTCAAGTATTCAAAAGATGGAAAAGCCAGAACAGTTGCAGTTGACTCGAAGTCGTTCACTAAAGCTAAATCAAATTTCGTTGATGCAAAGTTCTATTTTAAGGAATTTCCAATTGAAGAAATTCAATCAGCTCTTGAGAATAGTGAAGTAAGGGCCAGTGAAAAGAAGATTGAAGAAGAGTAATCTTCCGCAACGAAAGAAAGTGAACATGAGGCCTTAATAAATATAAGTCAAACAGTTGCTAAAAAAATAAAGTTTCATTTTATACATGTCTTCAAAGGAAAAAGTGATCAATCTTCTTCCTCAAATCAAGAAGATATCATACAACTAATAAACACCATAATTACACCCTAATTACAAATTCAATCAATATTGGCATTAAAATATAATAAATATGGGACTTAAAGAAGTTGGCTAACCCAACTTTGGTTAGCATGACGACACCGTTTAAACTTGTTGTAAATCGAACTCTAATTCTTCTAAAGCCTCTCTTCTTCAACGATCTCCCCCTAAAATTCCTTTCTCCCTCTCCACACTATGGCTTTTTCCTCCATCCTCAACGTTCCACAACTGAAAATTAGGTGAAAAATAAATGAAAATAGCAATCAATATAGAGCAATATAAAATCTACGAAACAAAAACTACCAGACAATCTCTCGCCTCCTCTCCTCTAAAAGATCATAAATTAGTAATAATTACACCATAAGATCATAAATTAGTAATAATTACACAATAAGATCATAAATTGACAGAACCACACAGGGATCAGCAGTTCTAAAATAGACCAAATCATCACAAACAAATAATTTTTGAAACGGAAACTAAGAACCAAATTACCATAGAAATGAAACAATAAATTCAGCATAAAAGTGATGAAAGTTGTACCTTAAATTTCTAAAATTGAACACAGATACAAACAAAAAAAATTTAGATAAAAAAAAAAAAACTATCAGATAAAGCGGCCTTCATTTACGAAGTAAGACGCAAAATTCCTTTGAGATAGAAAGTAAAGTCTTGGAAATCTGGATTCGTTCCCGATCAAATACAAAAAGATTTGGAAATGGATTCTGAAATGTCCCACGAGTAAACGAAAATGAATATTTTTGAGAACGTCACACATCTTGAAGCAGCGACACTCTTAGATTTGGACATAGCTCTCAAGCAATCTTTTCTTGATTTTGGGAGGAAGGGAACCAGTTGCTGGAGCAGGTGGTAATGGCAGTGGCGGTGCTGAAGGAGAGAGAAAGAGAGAGGCAGAGGCAGATTGGATTGCATAACAAGCTCAAACGATGCGTTTAGAAGAATTAGGGTTGGGTTTGGAATAATTTTAAACGTTGTCGTTTAGAACATGCTAACCCAAGTTGAGTTAGGTAACTTCTGTGGGTCCTATGTTTATTGTATTTCAATATGAATTTTGATTGAATTTGTAATTAGTGTGCAATTATAACACAAGTTTGAAATTAAAATATATAGAGTTTAAGTTCACTTTAAAGTGAAATTATTATAAATCGTAAAATTAAAATATTCAAAATAATTTAACTCTCTTAAAAATGAAAAATTATTTTCCCACTTAGTAAATAACTAATATATATATATATATATCTCTCTCTCTCTCTCTCTATATAATATTATAAATTCGTAAATTAAAAAATTCAAGATAAAATAAATTTAACTCTCTTAAAAGTGAAAAATTATTGTTCCACTTAGCTAAAGTAACTAATAATATGATATATACAGTATATCTCTCTCTCGTCACTCTCAATCTATATAGTTTATTTATTAGTATTAAGAGTAGATATATATAATATATAACGTATATATATATAGAGAAGAATATATATATATATTATGATATATAGAGAGAAGAAGAGAAGAGAGAGAGGAGAGAGAGAGAGCAGGGAGAGGGAAGAGAGCAAGAGAGAGAGAGAGAGAGAGAGAGTTGACCCTAAAATCTGCCATGCCCTATGATGTGGCATTCCAGGAGTAGGACAGACAACTTCCATCGGATTTCATCTCCTGTCCAAAACAGCATCACATATGGAGAAGTACTCAAAGAGGATGGATTGGGCCATCCTCCTTTACAATGTATTTTCTAATACAAACAAACAAATGTTATTACTGTTTCTAATGCTCACACATTCAACATTGCTGACAATTTTCGGCCTAACATATCCTCATAAAGGTCACGGGTGGACGCATGGGTCTCTTCTATTTCATCACTTCTTCGAATTATAAATTTAATTATTGATTTGCAATCATTCAATTATTCGAAATTATAATATTTCAATTTAGATTTACAATAAAATTAAAATGAAAATATATGTCAAAATCTTAAAAATTCCATTCAGAACCATTTTTTTCAAAAAAAAAAAAAAAAAATTATCATATGTTTTCCAAAAAACAAAAAAGCAAAAAATGTATATTAAAAAAAAAAAAAAAAAAATTATATTAAGAATTATACTTAAACTGGATATCATTTCAATTCAAATTCAAATTATTCAAATATAAAAATGTTAAAGAAAATTTTGAATTCTTTGTGAACTAAGCCAAATATAAAACCTATTCCAAGAATTTGATTTCATTTGTAGCTATAAATTGAACATCAGAGTGAAAAAGAACACACTATGTCAAATCCTAACAAAAGAAGAAATAACTAACAACACATTGATATTTATTAGTAGCTTTCTGAAAAAAAAATGCCTATTTGCATACATACAATTGCATTTACAAAACACAATCCATCACCAATGGCTTTCAATCTTCAAGTACATACCTGTTTCTTCTTGCACCAAAAGCTAGTCTCTGCAAAGGTAGGATAATTAAAAAGAAACAGAAAAGCAAAGCTCAGAAACCAATAAAAACTTCGAATAAGCAAGATGCATATTTGACTTTACATTAAAATAATAATAATAATTATCAAAACAACACAGGAAGATGATCAGCATTTTACTCAACTGAAAATATTTGTGAGTAGGCTTTTATGCCAGTAAGGAAACGAATATAAGTTGGCTTTCTCGATCCATTGGCAGGGATGGATCTGATATTTGGGACAAGGTATTCTGCGACCTGCGACAACACCATCCCCAACACATACACTATCAAAATTAAAAGAAATAGTAGAACAGAAGTAAAGAACATTAATAGAAAAATGTTAATCAGTGAAAATTAATGGTGATGCATGTCATGCGGCCGATGTCTGCATATTGAATTACACATGCATTTTACATAACAATCCTATAACAGCCCAGAAAATGTTTTTTTTCTCTTCTTTTTTCCTCCTCTTTTAGATGTTAGCAAAAAGGCATCACTTTTTTTCCTGTGAATAGCCTATGATAACTTTCCACGCTGAACTAAGCACGTCAAATTTTATCATATAAGAATATTTACTTGATCATGGCATTTTACTAGCGATAAATGGTTACACGGCTTCTGTTTACTGTAGAAAACATATCAATCATCTGATAGTCAGACAAAGTTACCTAATAGCAGTCTGTATCTCACTAATTCAGAATGATAGACAAAATCTTACCACTTCAGCTGGTTCTGCCAAAACATTAATGAAAAACTTGGCCTGCAACAGGTAAAATGTTTTAATTTCAATCAAAAGCTCACAGAATAAGACTCCAACATCTAGATGGTTGTTTATTCAACCTGCTTGGTAGTAGCTCCAGACATGAGAAGATCAGTTGTGACCATTCCAGGCTGCAGATGAGAGAGAGAGAAAGAGAGATAGGAACAAGAAATTGAAGGGAGTTCTTTAGAATTAATTTGAAGACAGACCATAGAAAGCATTGGATAAATCTGCCTTAACCCTAGAAATAAAAAGGGCATCCAATAAATTTTTCCTCGGACAAATTTCTGCTACCACTAAAGAGATCAAATCCATGCACTTGTAACATAAGAAGCATAAGAAATCACTGGATAAGACTCATTTGCAGAGTAGCATGGAGAAGTAATCCACCAATATCAGAATTGAGTGCTATAGGTGTGAGAAATGGTTGCAACAAATTTTCCAAATATGGCACACATATTTACTTCGTATGATAACTGTAATTTAATGTGGAAAATTATTGTCGTATTATTTTCATCAATAGGGATACTTTTATATACATATATAGGATACTATAAACCTATTAGGAATCTAACTCCTAACAGAACTCTATTTACAACTAGTCCTTAACACTCCCTCTCAAGTTGGAGCATAGATGTTAATCATGCCCATTACATATATAGGATATCATAAAAACCTATGAAGATCTAACTCTCTAACAGAACCTCTATTTACAACTAGTCCTTAAGCACTCCCTCGTCAAGTTGGACGCATAAGATGTTAATCATGCCGCATTATTAGATAAGTGGTTATATACTTCCAAGTCTAATTTAGAGCTTTGTAAAGAATCTTCCGCACTGTTAGCACTTAGTTTTAACAGGTGCTTCTTGGAGACGAACTAACATGCCTTGTTATGATCTTTTCGCGAACGAAATCTGAGTCGATGACTAATACTGCAATCTCGATATAGTTATATTGTTCTGTTTCATGAGAAATTAGGGATTTCATCACAGCAATGTGAAGAGCGAGCTTGATTGTCACACGATAACTTTGCAGGAATCAGAGGACCGACTTGAAGCCAATTTCCTCTAACAATTGATGAAATGCCAAATTATTTCACAGAGGCGAGGCTAATTTGCGCCAATAAGCTCGAATATTTCTGAGATTCAGACACAATCCGATCGTCCTAGAGCTACATTTTGTTTTTATGTTTGCTCGTATTGCATCTCTTCGTTTTTCCGGTTGCCCTTTTCTTCACTATCCTTTCTGCTTTTCTCCATGATATCAAAGTTTCGCCACCCACTTTAAAGACAAGTTTCCACCCACAAAGACACAATATCCTGAAGTTAATCTTCTATCAACCTTCGAACCTGCCCAATCCGCATCCGAAAAACACTCAATATCCAAATGCCCATGATTACTGTAAAGGAGGCCACGACCTGGATTACCTTTTAAGTAGCACAAAAATTTATCCTAAAGCTTCCCAATGAATAACAGTAGGAGAAATATAAATTGGCTTAAGACGCTCATAGAGTAAGCAATATCTGGACGTGTTATCGTAAGATAATTTAGTTTGCCCACCAATCTTCTATACATCTTAGGATCATCAAATAGCTTACCACCAATTGAAAGTTACAAATTAGGAGTCATTGGAGCACTGCATGGCTTGGCACCCAACTTTTCAGTTTCCTTTAGTAACTCAAGGACATACTAGTAAGTCAAGGACATACTTCCTTTGAGATAAGAAGATGCCTCTCTTACACCTAGATACTTCTATACCCAAAAAATACTTCAACAATCCTAAGTCTTTTTTCTGGAACTGAGTCTGGAGGAATGACTTGAGTGATGTAATGCCTGCAGAATCACTCCCTATAATAACAATGCAGAATCACTCCTTGTAATAACAATGTCATCAACATAAACCACAAGTAGAATCAAACCAGTGTTAGTACTTCTGAAAAATACAAAATGATCAGAAATACTCTTCTGCATGCCAAATTGACATTACAAAATCTACCAAACCAAGCTCGAGAGGACTCTGTTTTAAGCCATAAAGAGATTTTCGAAGTTTACACAATTTACCCAGCTCCCCCTGAGCAACAAAGCCTGGTGATTGCTCCATGTAAACTTCCTCCTGAAGATCCCCATGAAGAAAGGCATTCTTAACATCCAGCTGATGTAAAAGGCCAGTCAAAAGTTGCTGCTAAAGAAATAAACAAACGAACAGAAGACAATTTGGCTACAAGAGAAAAAGTATCAGAGTAATCAAGGCCATAAATCTGAGAATAGCCTTTAGCAACTAATCGATCCTTGAGATGGGCTACAGATCCATCAGGATTCATTTTAACTGTGAAAACCCATTTATAACCAATAGCTTTGTTACCTGCCGGGAGAGGCACAAGATCTCAAGTACCATTAGTATCTAAGGCAACCATCTCCTCTTTCATTGCTGCACACCAACCAGGATGGGACAAAGCTTGGACAACAGTGACAAAGTGTTAGGTAGAGGACGGTCTAGGTTATTACAAAAACAACGAGGATGAAGGAGAAAGATGATCTAACTAACAAACATGAAATAGGATAGGTACCCACTTGCTTGCATTTACCTTTTCGAAGAGCAATGGGTAGGTCAAGGTCTGACTGAGGAGTGGATGGCATAGGCTCAGGTTGAGTGGAGGGAACTGGATCTTCTATTAAAGCGGTAGAAGGGGGAATAGGAGGAGCAGATGCTGTAGCAAGAGATGCTGGTGCAGGAGGGGGAATAGGAGGAGTAGATGCTGTAGCAAGAGCAAGTGCAAGTTCAGGAACAGGAACAGCAGCAGGAGCAGGAGTAGGAGAGCTAGGAAATTGCTGGATAGCGTAGACTAAAAGCTCATCATCCTGCCCCTCACTCTTATACATAGGAGAAGGAAAAAATGGAGTACTCTCAAAAAATGTGACATCGACAGAAATAAGATAACGGTCAAGTTTGGGAGAGAAACAACGATATCCCTTTTGATGCCTGCCGGAGAATACCCAAAGGAAAATACAACAAAGGGATTTTGACCCTTAATTTGGAAACACTGTGGACGAACATCCACGACACAAAACAAAGTACCAACCAAAAAATACGAGTTTAATTAGGAAATTAAAAGTTTGAGAAGGAAACAAGACACTATAAGGAATTGCCCACCATTAAAAGCACAGAAAAGGCATGCGATTTAATAAAAAAACATGGCATGCGATTAATAAAAAAACATGCAGTAGAGACAGCATCCGCCCAAAAATGTTTAGGGACCTTCATTTGAAATAGGAGTGCCCTAGCAACTTCAAGAAGATGTCGATTTTTCCTTTCTGGAACCCCATTTTGAGGAGTATCAACACGAGATGTTTGATGAAGAAGACCATTCTGTGACATATAAGATTGGAAGGAACTAGATAGATATTCTTTAGCATTGTCACTTTGCAATGTGCGATAGAGGTATTAAATTGAGTTTTAATCTCAGCACAAAAGGAACAGAAAATAGAGAATATCTAAGAACAAGTTTTCATTAAAAATAACCAAGTAACACTAATCATCTACAAAAGTTACAAAATATCGAAAGGCAGTTTAGAAAAACAGGAAATGACCCCAAACATCAGAATGAACTATACTTTTCAAAACGGGGATAAAACCCAGTTTCATTGATGAAGCCCGTTTATTGACTCGAGGAACTAAAGGTAAACGATGATGTTTGGCAAATTGGCAGGATTCACATTCTAAAATCGATAAAGACTGAAACTGCAGACACAATTTCTTTAAAGTAGTCAATGAAGGATGACCCAAACGACAATGCACGTCAAGAGGAGAGAGAGCACCAATACAAGCCAAAGATGACGAAACTTGTTCATCCAGAAGATAAAGGCCACCAAACTCACGTCCTTTACCAATAATCCGCTTCGTCAAAAGATCCTGAAACACACAATAGGTAGGATAAAATTTAACACAATAATTCAGTAGACGAGTAATTTTGCTACAGATAATAGATTGAATGAAAAACGAGGCAAAAAAAAAAAGAAGAAGACAACAAAAGAGATGGGATGGGATTGGCGGTGCCAATACACTTGACAGAAGACGTGGACCCATCAGCTACAGTAATATGACGATTAAATTGTTCAGGTTCTTTAACTAAGGATAAGAGACTAGGGTTACCTGTCATATGATCTGTGCAACCAGAATCAATGACCCACTCTGCAATGACCCACTCTGGTGAGGTAGACATAAGACATGTAGCAGGAGTACCTGAATTGACAGCAGCAACAATTGAGGAATCAATAGACTGAGAAGAACGGTATCTAGAGAGCTCAGCATACTCCGCAGCAGAAATTGTTACAGTGTTCCTAGAAGAAGTAACTGCATAATCTTCAGTGGCCATATTTGCCCTTGGGGGCTTATTTATCAGTTTCTTACAATACCGTTTAGTGTGACCAGGTTCATGGCAATAACGGCAGATAAGAATGCTCCTCCCAATTAATTGGTCCATTACTACGGTTATTTCCTCCTCTGTTTCCTGGCTGTCTAACGATCTGATTACGACTCACAAGCGCACTATTATCATAAGGGGATCGGGTATAAGAACCTTCAATATGTAGTAATCTAGCAAAAGTCTCTTGAAGAAAGGTAAAGTCACTGCCTATAAGAACCTGTGATTTGGCAGTTTCAAAAGCCGGAGCAAGACCTGCAAGAAAACTCATTACAGTCATTTGTTCTCGCTGAGTCTGTTGAACTTTAATATCAGGGCTAAATGGCAATAAAACATTAAGTTCCTCGTAAATCTTCTTCAATTCCATGAAATAAGCTGTGAGGGGCTTATCTTGCTGGTCGGCCCGATAAATCCTTTGCAGACCTCATACATACAAGATAGATTACCTTTTCCCGAGTACAAAAATTCAAGATAATCCACCAGTTCCTTAACAAACTCACAATGATTAATTAAGCCAAGTACCTCACTGTCAATCGAATTCTGAAGCTGTAAAAATAATCAAGCATCCTCTCTAAGCCAGATTTGCCTAGCATCTCCTTCAGGTGGATCATTGGTCAAGTGGTCATCCTTATCCAAACTACAAAAATATATACGAACTGTTTTACTCCATGCCAGAAAATTGGATCCAGTAAGTTTGTGTTCCGTTATTTTATTCAGTAATGGCACCACATCAGTGATGATAGGTTTCGATTCGAAAGTCTCCGGTGGAGTAGTCGTCATGATTTGTGATTAAACGCTCAAAAACAAATGTAGCACAGCAAAGGAAAACTACGATTCTTGGTAAGTTGATAGCAGAATAGCAAATAGGCAGCAGCACAATATAAATTCACAAATTCAGACTTTACCCGGCAAGGCGGCAGCAAAGGTGCAGCACAAAAAACACCACAAAAGTCAAAGAGGGCCGGGCAAGGCGGCAGCAAAGGTGCAGCACAAAAAACACCACAAAAGTCAAAGAGGGCCGATGCAACACACTGGGTTGCACTGTACTGGCAGAATCGACGCCGGAAACTGAGAGCCGGTGACAGGAGATGGTCGGATGCGCCTGCACGCGCCGGTACATGAAGAAGAGTGGAAAGTATGAGTGGCGCGTGAAGCCCACTCGCGAGGATTCCAGTGACCGGATTTGGAGGCAGAGCCGATCAGCGGCCTGCCCTTCTTCCTTGGGTGGCAGTGAGACAAAAACACCAACCTATGTGGGTGACCTAGACTGGCAGTCACCAAAAAACACCCTCTGCCTGTAGTTTCAACGCAAAAGAGCAGAAAAAAAACCTAACGAGCCCCCTCGGGCTCTGATACCATGTAATTTAATGTGGAAAATTATTGTCGTATTATTTTCATCAATAGGGATATATAAATACATATACAGGATACTATAAACCTATTAGGAATCTAACTCCTAACAGAACTCTATTTACAACTAGTCCTTAACAATAACTTTTAAGGTACACAAGCACACAACAAACTTTTTCATTTGAAATCCCAACTCACTGTTATGGTCCCTAGATAAGGATCTAGTTATGGGGCGATGGGATGAGGGATTGGTGGGTGATTGGGATGACGAAGGGCGTTTACTGCGACCTATGGTTGCAGACGTTCAGGCTCAATAGAGGGACCCTGACCTCTTGAGTTTAAGTCTCAAAAACTGTTAGGAAAGTTCAAAACTGAATTATCATTAACAGAAATGAAAAAAAAAAAAAATGATTAAATTACAGAAATATAAGTTAACTGCCTCTAAAATAAGGGAAGTTACTGCTAGGGAATTGGTAAACCACCCACTTAAACTTAGGGAAAGCAAAACACATGACAGAACATGGGAAAACAGAAAAAACAGGGGAATAAAAAAACTAACTCGGACAGACAAAAACAAGAAAGGAAGCTAATTGCTGGACTTTGACTGACTTAGCTTTTCTGCTTCCATAGGTGAAACTCTTGTACACCTGGACGGCTTGCTAACTACTTCCCTCCTCCACAAGGCGTTGTCCTCAAACGCAAATTTGGATATTGAGGTGGAACTGATTAGCATCCTCCCATGAAGCACGGCAGGAGAAGAGTTATGCAAGTTTGGATATTTGAGGTGGAACTGATTAGCATCCTCCCATGAAGCATCAGCAGGAGAAGAGTTATGCCAATGAACCAGAACTTGTAAATGTCCACCCCGCACACGATGATCCAAGATAGCAAGTGGTTGATGTTGAACAGAATCTTGCGGAAGAGGTGGCAAAACTGGAAGAGGTGTAGTCGAACCAGTATGGTACTTTTTCAGGCTGGACACAAGAAAAACAGGATGAATTTTTTACTCCGAAGGTAGATCCAACTTGTATGCCATGATTCCAACTCTTGCAGTAATAGTAAATGGCCCATAGAACTTAGTTGAAAGTTTCTAGTTGCTCCGTTTAGAGATGGACTGTTGGCGATAAGGCTAAAGCCGAAGTAAAACCTGCTCACCAACCTAGAACTCCAAATCCAGATGATGTTTGTCATAATTAGCCTTCATTTTTTGCTGCGCTAGAAGGAGATTATGGCGTAGTAACTTCAGAACTTCATCCCTGGACTGTAATGCAATGTCCACAGCCTCTACGAATGAACTACCAGGACAGTATGACAGCAATCTAGGTGGTGGACGGCCATAAACCACTTCAAAAGGTGTAGCCTTGAGACAGGTGTGAAAACCGGTATTATAGAAATATTCAGCCCATGAAAGCCAATCTGTCATTTAGTAGGCTGCTCACTTGTAAAATATCTGAGATACATCTCAATTGTGCGGTTTAGCTGCTCACTTGTAAAATATCTGAGATACATCTCAATTGTGCGGTTTACAACCTCTGTTTGACCATCAGATTGTGGATGGTAGGCTGAGCTAAAAGACAATTGAGTGCCGCTCAAACGAAATAGCTCCTTCCAAAAAGAACTTGTAAAAGTAACATCACGATCAGGAGAATCAGGAATTGTTAACCAGGCCATGAAGAAATCATATCTTTAGCAGGAAATTAGAAGAACAGATTGAAGGGAAAGAAGGGATTAATTTGTAATTGTTGACTATGCTGAATTCAGGTTTAGGGAAAGCAATAAAGGAAAAAACAAAAAGACTAAAATGATTGGCTGAACCAACCCCCAGACGAGCCCGATCTACAGCAAAGAATGCTGATTACGAGACTGACAGAAAAAAAGTAACCCCTTTCCAAACTGTACACTATATTATTACAACAGAAATTAGTAACAAACTATAGCTGTACTGGAACTGCTTCTGGTCTTCCTTCCCAAGAATGATTCTCTTAGCTGGCTTCCCTTTCCTGGTATATACCCAAATGCCCTTTGCGTTATCAAGCTATTATGCGCTCATCATTGCCACCCTCATGAGGAGCAGCCTTGTCCTCAAGGCTGAAGTCAGGAAACTGTGCCCGGAAATCTGCTTCGTTAACCCAAGTAGCATTCTCTTCCGTTGTCCATGCCACTGTACCAGGATCTGTGAGACAAGTTGCCCATTCTGTTTGGAGGTCTTCCTTGCACACACTTTGAGTGGCTCCAACATAGGCTCAATTTCTGCTTCCATAGTGTCCGGTAATTTTCCCGCAACTGCATGATCTCCTATCACCTTCTTTAATTGAGAAACATGGAATACCGGGTGAATACGAGCAGTTGATGGCAACTCGTGAATCACGAGCAGTTGATAGGACAAACTTGAAGCTTTAGATAAGCAACAGCCCCCGATCCTTCCCAAAAAAACTCGAATGGGACCATAGAAAGCGAGCAAACAAGCTTAGCATTGATACGCGTTTTGCTGCTGTTTGTTGCCTATAAGGCGCGGAGCTTGAGGAAATCTTTATTCCCCACTGAGAACTGAACAGCTCTCCTTGCCCGAATTTGGCATACTTAACATGAAACTGCTTGAGATCCGTTACAAATTTGCTGCCGGATGTTGACGATCTCACTTCTTCTATACTTTACTGCAAAATGTGCTGTTGATAATGCCTCCCATCACTAGTTTCTCCGGCAAATAGTGTGTGTCCTTAAACTCAAATGGGTCTCTCGTTAGCTTGCACATTGGTAATTTTGTGTTTATTACCCAATATGCTTTTGCCCTGCCTAGCCATTTAGCCATTTTCTGCGCGCTGTTTCCGGATGAGAAACACCGTATGTTAGCATTCCAGGAGCTTCTATTTGTGATGCCTCGGTTTGCCCGTCAGTTTGGGGGTGGTAGATGGAGCTAAAAGAAGTAACGACCCTTGGAGCTTAAATAACTCTGTCCAGAAAAATGGCTGAGGAAGATCGGATCATCGGGTCCATGTCACCAATGAGTTTTCGGTATGCGCAGGTGTTATGACGGACACCTCTTTGTGAAAACTTCAGCCACCTTTAGATGCTGTAAAAGGATGTGTTCAAGGCAATAAATGGGTACGTATTTGTGGACAGGCAATTCAACCACCACCAGTATCTTGCAATCAGGACTCCTTTGATTTTGGAAGCCCGGATAGTGAAATCAAGGAGATAATCTTCCCAAATTTGGAAGAATGGGCAACGGCTTCAAGTAAACCTCCCGGGATTTTAAGCCTCCATAATTTTGGGCTTGACAAACCAAAACAACGCCACAAATTTCCTTGATTGCGTCCATCATCTTGGGCCAATAAAAGTTATTTCAAGGCAATTCTCTTGTAGGTTCTAAGTTGCACCGATTAGTGGACCCCCCCATAGAAGTGGAATGAAATTCATTGATGAGCTG